CATTACATTGATTATAATCCCCTCCATATACCCAGCACTCATTTACCTAGCACTCAATAAAAGTTTCATTACATTGATTATAATCCCCTCCATATACCTAGCACTCCATATACCCAGCACTCAATAAAAGTATTTCTCTTTATCCACTTTAGCTTTTTTTAAAAAAAACACAAAAACAAAAAACCCCGCTCAGGCATATATAATAAATTACATCTCCAAAGGGCACATTCTGCAAGTCTGCCTCCTGGCCACGAGTTCTTAGCCCACTCTCAGTTTTAGTAGAAAACTCAGTAATGTCATCATCTGTTGTTGCTGACGGTGTATTTAATTTTCACATCTGTGTCTCTGTTTCTGGAGGGCTGGGGTGGTACTGCAGGTTAATGTGCTGGACTGCAAGGTCAGGTTGAACCACAAGGTCTGCTGTTCAAGCTCACCAGCCGCTCCTTGGAGACTATACGGGGTTGCTATGAGTGGGAACTGACTTGACGGCACTTGACAATATCATCTGTTTCCACCCTTACTGTTGGCAGCTCAAAACTTGTGCTGAAGAGCAAGATGGTAGCTGATCCGTAGTTCTGACGTACTGTTCATTTTCACTGCTTGGAATTCCTGACATAGTTCACATTTCAACCTACTATTTCACTAAAATGTCTAGAAAGTTCCTTTCATTTGAGGAAATGAGTGCTGGGTATAATTAAATGCTTTCTAGGTCTGGGTTGCTGTGGGTTTTCTCTTTTAGTTTGTTAATGTAGCGAAGTCAGTTCAGACATGTCTGAATCAGGAGCAACTGGTCCCTGGAGAACTTCATGCGCAAAAGTGTCAACAACAAAGAGGCAGACCTCCAAGGAGCTTGACTGACCCAGTGACTGCAGAGTGGACTCAAACACAGCGACGATTGTGAGGGTGGTCCAGGAGCAGGTGTTCTGTTGTGCATCAGGTCACTGGGAATCGGAGCCAACTCGATGGCACCTAGTAGCAACTACATGTACCTAAACGACACTGGAGGAGGGCTGGTGGCACAGTGGTTAAGTACTCGGCTGCTAACTGAAAGGTCGGTGGTTTGAGTCTACTAGCTGCTTCTCGGGAGACAGATGTGACAGTCTGCTTCTATAAAGACTTCCAGCTTTGGAAACCCTATGGAGTGGCCCACAATTGACTGTCAGTTTGTTGTTCTGTGGTGGCTTGTATGTTGCTGTGATTCTGGAAGCTGTGCACGGGTATGTTAAATATGAGTAGGTATTTAAAGTAAAAACCTGTTACCTGTGGTGGACAGGTTTCAACTGAGCTTCCAGACAAGACAGACTAGGAAGAAGGAGAGATGGACTACATCTGAATATTTCATCATGGAAAACCTTATGAATAGTAGTGGAACACTGTCAGATAGCGCCAGAATACTGAATATTGAATCAGGATGAAGAGCACCAGAATATTTTCAGATATATGGACGATGAGCCCTTTAGGATTGGAA